CATTCCTTCACGCCCCTCCCCTCTGGCAACCACCAGTTTGTTCTCTGTATTTATGAGTCTCTGTTTTGTTTTGTTTGTTCATTTGTTTTGTTTTTAAGATTTGACATATAAGTGAAATCATACAGTATTTGTCTTTTTCTGTCTGACTTATTTCACTTAGCAAAATACCCTCTGGGTCCATCCATGTTGTTGCAAATGGCAAGATTTCACTCTTCTTATGGCTGAGTAATAGTCCATACTACAACTTCATTATCCATTCATCTGTTGATGGACACTTAGGTTGATTCCATTTCTTGGCTATTGCATATAGTGCTGCAAGGAACATAAGGGTGTAGATATCTTTTCAAATTAGTGTTTTCATTTTCTTTGGGTAAATACCCAGTAGTGGAATTGCTGGATTGTATGGTGTTTCTTTTTTTAATTTTTTGAGGAATCTCCAGTGTTTTCCATAGTGATTACACCAATATACATACCAAGTTATGTATGTTAGTTAGTGCATGAGGGTTTGATACTAGGCATTCTGACAGGTGTGAGGTGATATCTCATTGTGGTTTTGATTTGCATTTCCCTAATGATTAGTGATATTGAGCATCTTTCCATGTTGGCCATCTGTATGTCTTCCTTGGGAAAATGTCTATTCAGGTCCTCTGCTCATTTTTTTTAAAAAGATTTTATTTGGGACACCTGGGTGGTTCAGTTGGTTAAGCGTCTGCCTTCTGCTCAGGTCATGATCTCAGGGTCCTGGGATCGAGTCCTGCATCAGGCTCCTTGTTCAGCAGGGAGCCTGCTTCTCTGTCTTCCTGCCGCTCCCCCTGCTTGTGCTCTCTCTCTCTGACAGATAAATAATAAAATCTTTTTTAAAAAATTCTTTTAAAAGATTTTATTTATTTGAGAGAAAGAGTGAGTGGGGGGAGGGGCAGAGAGAGGGAGAGAGAATCTGAAGCAGACTCTGTGCTGAGCCTGATGTGGGGCTTGATCCCACAACCGTGAGACCGTGAGATCATGACTTGAGCCAAAACCAAGAGTTGGATGCTTAACCGATTGAGCTACCCAGGCACCTCTGTCTTCTGCCCATTTTCTAATCACACTATGGTTTTTTGGGGTTGCATTGCGTGAGTTCTTTATATATTTTGGATATTTACCCCTTATTTAAAATATACTTTACAAATATCTTCTCCCATTCAGTAGGTTGCTTTTTCATTTTGTTGAAGGTTTCCTTTACTTTGCAGAATCTTTTTAATTTGATGTAGTCCCAATTGTTTATTTTTGGTTTTGTTATGCTAGCTTGAGGAGGCAGATCCAAAAAAAATATTGCTGAAACCAACATCCAGGGGCGCCTGGGTGGCTCAGTTGGTTAAGCATCTGCCTTCGGCTCAGGTCATGATCCAGGGTCCTGGGATTGGAGTCCTGCATCGGGCTCCCTGCTCAGCGGGGAGCCTCCTTTTCCCTCTGCCTACCGCTCCCCCTGCTTGTGTTCTTTCTCTCTCTCTCTCTTTCTCTCTGACAAATAAACAAATAAAATCTTTAAAAAAAAAATAAAACCAATGTCCAGGAAATTACTGCCTATGTTTTCTTTTAGGATTGTTATGGTTTCAGGTCTTATATTTAGGTCTTTAATTAACTTTTGAGTTTGTTTTTCTATATGGTGTAAGAAAGTGGTCCAGTATCATTCTTTTGCATTTTTTTTTGCATGTATACTTTCTTTTGCATATGTTTTCCTAACACCATTTACTGAAGAGACTGTCTTTTCTTTTTTTTTATTTAAAGATTTTATTTATTTATTTGAGAGAGAGAGAGAGAGAGAGAGCACATGAGAGGGGGGAGGGTCAGAGGGAGAAGCAGACTCCCTGCTGAGCAGGGAGCCTGATGTGGGACTCGATCCCGGAACTCCAGGATCATGACCTGAGCTGAAGGCAGTGGCTTAACCAACTGAGCCACCCAGGCGCCCTGAAGAGACTGCCTTTTCCCCCATAGTATGTTCTTGCCTCTTTTTAAGTGACCATATAAACATGGGTTTATTTCTGGGCTTTCTATTCTGTTCTATTGATTTATGTGTCTATTTTTGTTCCATTACCATACTGTTTTGACTACTGTAGCTTTGTAGTACAGTTTGAAGTCTGGGAGTGTGATACCTTCATCTTTGTTCTTCTTTCTCAAGATTGATTTGGCTATTCAGGGTGTTTTTTTGGGTCCATACAAATTTTAGGACTATTTGTTCTAGTTCTGTGAAAAATGCTATTGGTATTTTGACAGGGATTACATTGGATCTAATTGCTTTGGGCACTAAGGGCATTTTAACAAAATTAATTAGTGCATGCTAATCCATAGCATGGTATGTCTTTCCATTTATTTGTATTGTCTTCCATTTCTTTCATCAGTGTTTTATAATTTTCAGAGCACAGGTCTTTTACCTCCTTGGTGAAATTTATTCCCAGGTATTATATTGTTTTTATTTTTATTGTTTTTGGTACAGTTGTAAGTGTGATGGTTTTCTTACTTTCTGTTTCCACTACTTCATTATAAGTATATAGCCATGCAACAAATTTCTATATATTAATTTTATATTTTGCAGATTTATTGAGTTCAGTTATTAGTTCTAGTAGTTTTTTGGTGGAGACTTTAGGTTTTTCTTTATATGATGTCATGTCATCTGCAAATAGTGACAGTTTTACTTCCTCCTTACCAATTTGAATGCCTGTTATTCCCTTTTCTTGTCTGAGACAAGCATCCAACTGGGACTTCCAGTACTATATTGAATAAGAGTGGCAAGAGTAGACATCTTTGTCTTGTTCCCAATCTAAGAGAAAAAGCTCAGTTTTTCAGTATTGAGTATGATGTTAGCTCTAGGTTTGTCATATATGGCCTTTATTATGTTGAGGTATGTTCCCTCTAAATCCACTTTGTTGAGAGTTTTTTAGCATGAATGGATATTGTATTTTGTCAAATACTCTGGCATTTGTTGAGATGATAATATGGCTCTTACCCTTTCTCTTGCTAATGTGATGTATCATGCTGATTGATTTGCAAACATGGAACATCCTTGCATCCCTGGAATAAATCCTACTTGATTGTGGTAAATGATTCTGTTTAATGTATTGCTGAATTCAGCTTGCTGATATTTTGTTGAGGGTTTTTGCATCCACAGTCTTTGTTTTAAAGTCTGTTTTGTCTGTTGTAAGTATTGCGACCCTGGCCTTTTTTTTTTTTTTTCTTCCATTTGCATGGTATACGTTTTTCCAGCCTTTCATTTTCAGTCTGTATTTGTCTTTTGTGGGTCTGAAATGAGTCTCTTGTGGGTACTATAGAGGTGGGTCTTTTCTTTTTTAATCCAGTCAGTCACCCTATGTCTTTTTATTGGAGAATTAAGTCCATTTACATTTAAAGTAATTATTGATAGGTATGTATTTATTGGCATTTTGTTACTGTGTGTCAACTATACTCAAATAAAAAAATTAAAAATAAAGTGCAGTCTGTATTCTAAGTCTCTTTTGGTGGAAGGAAGTGTTACATAACTGAAAAGTGATCTAAGCTGGGAAAAAGATAAGTTGCTGGTAGTAGCTCCTGCCTGATTACAAATACATACCTAAAGACTAATTAAGACTCTTTTAGTCATTTCTTTTGAAGTGAAAAGCAAGAGCTTGCTGTCAATATATTTTAGAAGAGTTCCTTAATATTAACATTCAGGGCTGTCAAGTGAACCTGAATGGTACTCAAGTAGTATAAATAGGAAAAGACTAATACATTATGCTGATTGCTTTGCAAGCATTACCAACTAATTCCTTATAAGACCTTGTTAATGGATAACCTAGGGTCTCTTTTAAGAAAGAACAGTCAATATCCCAGCAGTGTTGCTTATAAGCCTATAAAAATCACAGTCTTGTACCTCTTGAGCATTAAACCAGTAATGATCCCTAAGAGAATTTTTTTCTGTTTGAGAGAGAGAGGAAGAGAGAATGCACGAACATATATTTGTGTGTGTGGAGGCATGCCTGAAAGCACGAATAAAGAGGGGAGGGGCAGAGGGAGAAAGAGACTCTCAAGCAAGCTCCACATTCAGCAAGGAGCCCAATGCGGGGCTCAATCTCATCACCCTGAATTATGACCTGAGCCGAAATCAAGAGTTGGATACTTAACCAACTGAACCACCCAGGCATCCCCCTCACCAAGAGAATTAATAGATGGAAAACTCATGTTTACTTTCAGTTAAACCCTGAAATTAGGTTAAAGCAAAACAAAGTAACAACAACAAAAACAAAATGCTTGGTTTTAGCTAGTTGAATATAAAAACAAGGATGAGAAAATTATTTCTCCTTTACTACATGGGTTCCCAAAATTCAAAGGAGATGTGAATTTATTAATAGTAGATACTAATTCAATCAACTTGTTCTTTTGTTTTAATAATTTAATTTATAGATTAGTCGTCATAAAGTTTATCCCAGGTTGGATTCCCTCTTTTACCTAGCGAGCATTTTAGCCACCTCTCCTCACAGTTAGTTCAGAGAGCCCAAGGAATACAAAATTCGAGCATGAGCTTCAAGAAAATAGGTTTAGAAAGTAGGTAAAAGCTGTAAGAAAGTCACATTATAAATTTTTAAATAAGAAGTAAATTATTTGGTGGTGTCTGAACCATCATTCTTTTTTGGCCTAAGGAGGGAAGTATTAATATTTTAAAAATGGTTTCAATTAGAATTTTAAAAATAGGCAAATACTCTTTCTCCGAGTATACTTTGGAACCAGAAACAAGATGATAATTAAAAAATATATATCAAGTAAATGGCTTTAAACAAAATCTAACTTAAAAGGAAATTGTTTTGATTAATTTAAAAGAACGGCTTTCATTTTAATCATAAACTCTTTATTATTTGGCATTTATATACATAAGGTATATATTTAATAACTAAAAATTCTATACAAACTCTAGGAAAGTATTCCAAAGGTGAAATTATGATTACAACATAAAAAATAATCAAAATACATTAAAGAAGCATGTGATTCGGTGCCAAATTTATAATCACATATTTAATATGTCACAATCCTTTTGTTCCAAAAAATATTCACATGAGAACTGTAAAGTGGGCAATTACTTGCCAAAAGAATAAATGATATTCATTATGTAGAACATGGAGAGGGACACAATGCAAAATAAAGATTCTTCAGAATTTCATTATGGAATTGCTAGTAAGACAACAGAACCTGAGGCTAGAAGGACCTGTCCAAGTAGAATATTTATGTTAAATATGCCTTTATTGCTTGCCTGGTAGAGATGATCTGTCAGCCACTTTTGGTAGAAGGATGGCCCACAATAGACACCAGGAAAATTTTTTCGACCACAGCCATATCCATAACTGGTAATTCCCATTACAAAAAATCGTTTATGTTCTGGTAAGTAGCACATTAATGGTCCACCACTATCACCCTATTAAAAAAGTCCCAAAATACTGTCAGTTGCTTCTAGTAGTCTTTAAACAACAGTAAAGCTGGAATAAATTAATCACATTGATCATATATTTATATAAATACACATTTTTAATATACCTTCAAGTTATAAAGATCCATAGATTTTCAGTTTTATATTCCAACTCAGACAGGAGGCATTCCATCTGGCCCGATATTTAGAGGAGCCATAAAGCTGGTGAATAAACTTCCTATCTGCATTGTTTTGAACCAGAATTGTATAAGTCACATTGTTTGGATTTTTTATTTATTTTTTTTAAAGATTTTATTTATTTATTTGAGAGAGAGAGAATGAGAAATAGAGAGCACGAGAGGGAAGAGGGTCAGAGGGAGAAGCAGACTCCCTGCTAGGAGCCCGATGTGGGACTCGGTCCCGGGACTCCAGGATCATGACCTGAGCCGAAGGCAGTCGCTTAACCAACTGAGCCACCCAGGCGCCCTGTTTGGATTTTTTAGTACAATTACTCAGGAGACATGTAATTTAAGAAATAGTGTGCAAAATACTGTAAATACCAATAGAATACTTCTATCGCTTAATGCTGTATGTGAAAAGTGTAACTTTAAGATGGATAAAGGATTCTTTAAGGTGTGTGTGCGTGGTTTGCTAACTAGAGGAGAGGAGTAAACTGGCATCTCGAAAGAGGTGGCATCTTTCTAAGTGTTAACATTGGCTGGCGCAGGGTAACAGGAATATTTACAGCCAGTAAATATAAACAGCCAGTCACAAAAGATTACATATTGAATGATTCTATTCATATGAAATTTCCAGGATAGTCAAATATACAGGGATTAGTGGTTGCTTAGGTCTAGGGGCAGGTGGCAGGAGAATGGGGAGTGATTTGTAATGGGTCGAGGCTTCTTTTTGGGTTGACAAAAGTATTCCAAAATTAGATTACGATAATGGTTGCACTGCTCTGTAAATATACTAAAAACCCATTGAGTTGTACACCCTAAATAAGAGCTGAGGCTCTCAGTTCTATTACAAATCACAGATGTCTGTCCTGGTTTCTGCAAGACTGTCAATGCACCAAAACACTATTACTAAAGAAATCACTGAAAACAACAAAGACATTGAGATAACGCTTTCAGAACCTAAAGATTAAGGACTGTATTTCCAAGGTGTTTTCAGTTTCTCTATGTAAGGTAGGCATTGAATAGTTATTTTTTGATAATGAGGATGTTTTGCTTATGAATGCAATTCAATTAGATTAGATTCTCTACTGTTTTAGTCAGCAAAATTTTTAAGGAAAAGGACACTGGAAAGTTAAACCCTGGATTACAGAAACCAGAATGAGTAGAACAAGGTTAGAGTATGGGGTACTGCTCGGGAGTGAAGTGCTGATATATTTAGAAGTAGAGAAGAAAAGGGAAAAAAGATTCAAACAGCACAAGAGACAAAACCAAAAAAAATAGATAAATCGACTTCATAAAAATTAAAAAAAAAACTTCTATGCTACAAATGGTGACATTAGGGAAATGAAAAGAGAGACCACAGAATGGGAGAAAATATTTGCTAACCATATATCTGGTAAGGGACTGGTATCTAGAATATATAAAAAAGGCTTATGACTCAATAATAAGATAAATAACTCAATTTAAAAATGGGCAAAGGATCTGAATAGACATTTATTCAAAGAAGATCTACAAATGGCTGGCCAATAATTACATGAAAAAATGCTCCACATCATTAGTCACCAGGGAAACACAAATTAAAACCACAATAAAATACCACTTCATACCCACAAGGATGGCTGTGATCAAAAAGACAACAAGTGCAGGCAAGGATGTGGAGAAACTGGAGCCTTCATATTGCTGGTGGGAATGTAAAATAGTGCAGCCACTCTGGAATAGAGTTTGGCAGTTCTTGAAAACGTTAAACATTGACCCAGCAATTCCAGTCCTAGGTGGAATTTCCAAGAGAAACAAAAACCTACCTACACATAAAAAATGTATACTCAAATGTGTATAGCAACATTATTCATAATAGTCAAAAAGTGGAAATAGCTCAAATATCCATCAAATAATGAATGGATAAAATGAGGCACATCCATACAATGGAATATTATTCCGCAATAAAGTGAATAAAGCATTAATACATGCTACAATATGGATGAACCTTGGAAACGTTATGTTAAGTGAAAGGAGCCAGTCACAAAAGATTACATATTGAATGATTCTATTCATATGAAATTTCCAGGATAGTCAAATATACAGGGATTAGTGGTTGCTTAGGTCTAGGGGCAGATGGCAGGAGAATGGGGAGTGATCTGTGATGGGTCGAGGCTTCTTTTTGGGTTGACAAAAGTATTCCAAAATTAGATTATGATAATGGTTGCACTGCTCTGTAAATATACTAAAAACCCATTGAGTTGTACACCCTAAATAAGAGTGAATTGCATATATGTAAATTATACCTCAATAAAGGCAGTAATAAAAAAAGAAAAATCCAAGGCAAATTTTGTCTAAATTTGACCATGAAAGCAAGGAATCAGGAAAGCAAGAGGATTTGGATTGTCGGACTGTGGTTAAAAAGGAGAAAAAAGAGTGCAATACTTATAAACTTAATAATTAAGACTTCACCAGAAAGTGATCAAAGACCTTGTTGAAGTTTCCATCTAGCTTTAGAAAATATTTCAAAGGAAAATTATTTGGTCTTACCCTGCAAGTATCAAAAATCCCATCTTCATCACCTGCACAAAATGAAGTGTTAGGAATAATTTTCCCATAACTTTGCTCAGAGTCGCAAATCTTTCGAGAGATATAATGTACTTCTGCTTCCTGTAACACATCTGTCACGTTACCTGTTAACAACAACAAAAATACCAGTAAATGATTTCGAAGAGCAGGCATTTTGACAGTAATATAAAATGTTCGTGTTGAATAGGTTTTCTTTCCCAAGTGGCTCAACAATTACATAAAACTGTATCCATATACACATGTATATGCCTAGAAAGACTGTGGAAGAATGGTCGCCAAATATTAATGACCACTATCTCTAGATAGTTGGAATTTCAGGTTATTTTTGTTATCTTTGCTTTCCTCTGTTTCTTGAAGGTCTCTCAAAAGGATCTACACTTTTTTTTTAAGGTTCACTTACTTACTTGGAGCGAGGAGGGGCAGAGGGAGAAGGAGAGAGAGTCTCAAGCACACGCTCCGCTGAGCTCAGAGCCCCTGTGGGGCGCATTCTCACAGCCCTGTGATCACAACCCCAGTGGAAACCAAGAGTAGGGCGCCCAGCCAACTGTACCCCCCGGGCGCCCCAAGCATCTACACTTCTTACAAAATAAAGCTATATAAAAATTGTCAAGGGCCAAGGAGGTAAATGCTGAGATCAATCTTAGGTTCTAAGTTGTGAATAATTTTTTATTAAATTTTCTGAGAACGCTAAGTTTTGAAGGATGGTCTACATGAAAATAAAACAGATTTTTAATTCATATACTCCCTTCACTTCTCTGCTAATTCCTGAACATAAGTGGTTCTTTGCTACTGAAGAGAGGAAAATACAGGGCAACACTTCAGGAACTACTGAAGGACAGATTGTTCTAAGATTTATCCGCAGAAAAGCTTCTGTAACAGCAGCATCTGATCTTAGCAGCCTCAGAGTTGCAGTTGCCACATGTGGTAGCTGAGAATTTTGTGTACCCTGCATCCTTCCCCATTGTCCCCTTGGCTGTAGCTGGGTGGATGACTTAACTGTTCCATTCCTAGAATTCCATTCTCCTAGAACACTGGTCTGGGAATATGTATCGTATCGTATCGTATCGTATCGTATCGTATCGTATTGTATTGTATTGTATTGTATTAAGTGTAAGTCTAGCCAATTGGAATGCTTCTCTAGCACCATTTTAACTGGAACTGCCAGAGGAAAACCTTGTTCACTGTAGTCACGTGACTGCTTAGTTGTAAGTTCAAAGCAGCTGCAGCCAAATTTGAACTTTATGACAACAGCAGCCTGAGAAAATAGTCCAAATGCAGAAAGAATAGGCACAGGAAATAGAAATGAAATATGTCCTAATGATGTTCAGATTCCTAGATAGAGCCTTCTTAGAGGCCAGCCACATTTCTGCGCTTTATTTAAAAATAATTAAAGTAATACTGGCAGCATATAAAAGAATATTTGTAACATGTAAGTTATAGAATATAATAATGAAATGAACACCTGTGAACCTACCACCCAATTTATGAGTCTAAACAATACTAATACCAGTATGGTATTAGTGCAAGACTATTAAAAATAACTAGAGATTTTCAAAGTGAATAAGACAGAGAGCTGAGAAATAGATGTCTGGTTTTCTATTCTGTTCGCCTGGTCACTTAGAATATCCTTGCACAAATATAAGAGAGACTAATTACTATAGATTTAAAATAAACTTTAATTTCTGGATGGCAACTCCTCTAACATATTTTTCTTCTGGAGGAGTGTCTTGGCTATTCTTGGGTCTTTTAGAATGAACTTTTTAACTGTCTCAAAACTCATGTTAGGGCTTATCATTCCCTGTTTTTGTTTTTGTTCTGTTTTGTTTTCAGTTTTTTCAGATAGAATTGACATCTTTATGACACTGAGTTGTCCTATTCAAGCATAAAGTATACCATTCCATTTACTTAGGTATTCTAACATCTTAAAAATGTTTTAGGATCTCTTCCATAAAAGGCCTGCAATCTTTTGTTAGATGTGTTTTTTGCTACCTAATCAGTTTGGTATTATTGTAAATGTTAATTTCTGTTAACTTTCTTCTCCAACATTTTGTTATGAAAAATTTCAAACATAAGGCAAAGATGAAAGAATTTCTCAGTAAACAACTATGTGCCCACCTCCTATAGATTCTTTAGTATTTTTGTTTCATCTGTTTACTGTTTTTTAAAAAGATTTATTTATTTATTTATTTATTTATTTATTTATTTATTTATTTTAGAGGGGGCAGGGGGAGAGACAGAGGGAGAGGCAGAGAGAGAACCTCAAGCAGACTCCCTGCTGAGCATGGAGCCTGATCTGGGGCTCAGTCTCACGACCCTGAGATCATAACCTGAACCAAAATCAAGAGTCAGATGCTTAACTGACTGAGCCATTCAGGTGCCCCTGTTCACTTTATTTTTTTTTATTTAAAAAAAATTTTTTTTAAAGATTTTATTTATTTTTTGACAGAGAGAGACACAGAGAGAGAGAGGGAACACAAGCAGGGGGAGTGGGAGAGGGAGAAGCAGGCTTCCCGCCGAGCAGGGAGCCCGATGCGGGGCTCGATCCCAGGACCCTGGGAACATGACCTGAGCCGAAGGCAGACGCTTAACGACTGAGCCACCCAGGCGCCCCTCACTTTATTTTTTTTTTAATTCTGTAATTATTTTGGCAACTTTTTATTTAGATAAAATTTCAAAATTATAGAGAAGTAGCAGGAATAGTACAAGGAACTGTAAAATACCTCTTACTCAAATTCAGCAGTTGCTGACTTTTTGTCACACTTGCATTATCATTTGTACTCTGTGTGTGTATATAAATTTTTCTGAATCATTTGAGAGTGAATGGCAGACACTGTACTCCTATATCCTTAAATACTTTAGTGTATATTTCTTTTTTTTTTTTAAAAGATTTTATCTATTTATTGACAGAGAGACAGTGAGAGAGGGAACACGAGCAGGGGGAGTGGGAGAGGGAGAAGCAGGCTCCCCGCGGAGTAGGGAGCCCGATGCGGGGCTCGATTCCAGGACCCTGGGATCATGACCCGAGCCGAAGGCAGACGCCTAACGACTGAGCCACCCAGGCACCCCGTAGTGTATATTTCTTAAGAACAGGGACATTTTCTTCATAGTACATTTATCAAGATCAGAAAATTTAACACTGGTACAATACTATTAACCAGTTCATGTTTAATCTCCAAGTATTATTGAATTTTCCAGTTATTGGTTATTAGTTTATAGTTTATTGGTTTCTGTTATTGGCTTATAGTTTAATTTCATTGTTTATAGTTTAATTCCTTTAAATTACTTTCTGTCTCTAAGATTTGCCCATTCTGGACATTTCATCATATAAATGGGATCATGCAATAATGTGGGCTGTTAGGTAGAGCTTATTTCCCTTAGCATAATGTTGTAGCATGTATTAGTGCTTCATTCCTTTTAACGGCTAGATAAAATTCCATTGTATGAATATACCACATTTTGTTTATCCATTTATCAGTTGATGGATCTTTAGATTTTTTTTTTCTATTTTGAATAACACTGCTATGAGCATTTGAGTACAGGTTTTTGTGTGGACGTTTATTTTCATTTCTCTTGGGCATATACCTAGGAGTGGAATTTCTGAGTCATATGGTAACTACAGATTTAATTTTTGAGGAACTACCAAACTGTATTCCAAAACACCCGTGCCATTTTATATTCCCACCAGCAATGCATAAGGGTTCCAATTTCTCCACATCCTTGTCAACACTTGTTCCTAACTTTTGATTATAGACATCCTTGTGGGTGTGACATCTGTTAACTTTGAAAGTTACATTTCCTAACTATTGATAGTGTATAAAAATGAAATAGATTTTCGTATTTTGGTTTTATATCTGGGCATTTTACTAGACTCTCTTAATTCCAATGTATTATAGATTCTTTATTGTAAATAGTCACATCACCTGTGAATGATGAGTGTTTTGTTATTACCTAAGTCATATGTGTTTTTGCATCTTTTTCTAGCATTACTGCACTAAAATCTAGTGCCAAGAATGTTTGGAGAGCGTATTCAGCCATTCTATAGCTCTCTCATTTTGGGGATTTTTCTGTCAAGTTTCTGACTGTCTTATCTAGGACTATAATCCCAGGCCAGTAGAGCTGTGGATTTTCCCCATTTGTCTCTTGCTGCTGAGTCCAATACTTTTATTGACAACTGCTAGCCTGGATTTTCAGCCGCTCTTCCAAACAGAGTTCACCTCCTCTGGCAACGAGGTTCTGTTCTTCACGGCCTTGCTAAAAGTACCGTACTGACTGATCTGAGAGAGGAGTTGGGAGCCCCCACAGGCAAGGAAGCTGCAGATTCCTCATTTTACCCAAATTTCTAGCTGTTTATGATAAATATTCCTCAATTTGTTGTGTACTTTGGCTGATTCCCAGGACCCTGAAATGATCGCTTTTGACGACTTGGTCAGTTTATATTTATTGGGGGAGAGGATTGGCCAGCCTCCCCATAGGCCGTCACAGCCAAAATGCCCATCCCTTCTGTAAATCAAGCATCATCAGAGTTCACAGTTTGTACATGACCTATCTTTGAACTTGGAGTTTTGCTTTATGGCCTCTAATAAGTGGTCAGTTTTTTTTTTTTTTTAAGATTTATTTATTTGAGAGAGAGTGTGTGCCATGCAAGTTGGGGGGGTGGGCAGAGGGAGAGAGTCTCCAGCGGACTCCCTGCTGAGTGCGGAGCTTAACTCAGGCCTTGATCTCATAACCCGTGGGATTATGACCTGAGCCGAAAACCAGGAGTTGGATGCTTAACCAACTGAGCCACCCAGGTGCCCCAAGTGATCAATTTTTATAAAGATTCCACCTGCACTTGAAAAAATAAAAGCCTCTGAATTTTTGAGTGTACTGATTTGGCTATTAAATCAAGCTGGCTAATTACGTTGTTCAAATATTCCAAATCTTTACTAAGTTTTTATCCGTTTGATATGCTAACAATAAAAAGAGAGTTGCATTAAATTCTCTACAATCATAGAGGAGTTATAACATTTGCTGTATAATTCTATTTTTCCTTAATATTATCTGGGTCCTTTTTATCAGGCTCAGAAGTCTAGAATTGTTCTATCTTCTTGGCGAGTTGAAACTTTTCTAAATAAAAATGATCTTTTTTTATCCTTTTGTCTTAAAGTCTATTTTGTCTGCAATTTGCATAGTGATACTAGCTTTCTTTTAATTTTAACTTACTTGATATATTTCTTTACTATTGTTTTACTTCAGTCCTTCCATTTCCTTACATTCTAGGTATCCCTCTAGGTAAGCTGGATTTCCTACTCCCTAATGTGATTTTCTGTCTGTTAATTAGTGGTTTGGTTCATTAACCTTTATTGTGATTATGGATATATTTGGGCTTGTTTCTACAGTCTTATTTTATACTTTCTATTTTTCTAACTTTTCCTAAGCTTATTTCTCCTTTCTTGATTTTTTATTAAGATTTTGTCTTTATTTTCTTATTCCGTATGTTTCTTATTCCATTCCAAGTTATATCCCCTATTTCTATTATTCAAATTTGACCATTCATGCTTAAATCTAATGTTAATCAGTATCTTAACACTTCTGAATAATACACAGATCTGAGATCACTTTAACTCTAATCACCCATTCTGAAATACAGCTTTTCCCCCAATATTTAAGTATCTTTTTTTTAATTCCATGAATTATATACTATTTTATTGTATTCCCAGGTTTCCCAATCTCAGAAATATTGACATTGTAGGCCAGATGATTCTTTGTTGTGGAGGGTGAGAGCACTGCCCTGTGTACTGAAGGAAGATGAGCAGCGTTCCCGGCTTCTACCCGCCCTGACACAGGGCCTGATCTCAGGGTTGTGAGCTGGGGTTTCTGTGTGGAAATATGTTTTCATTTCTCTAGGATAAATGCCCAGGAGTGCGATTGCTGGGTAATATCATAAATGTATGTACACGTGTGTGTTTTTAAGAAACTATATCTCTGGGGGCGCCTGGGTGTCACAGTTGGTTAAGCGTCCAACTCTTGGTTTCAGCTCAGGTCATGATCTCAGGGTCCTGGGACTGAGCCCTGTGTCAGGCTCAGAGCTCAGCGCAAAGTCTGCTTGGGATTCTCTCTCTCTCCCTCTTTGCCCCACCCCCACTCACGTGTGCGCAATCTCTCTCTAAAATAGATCGAAAGAAAGAAGGAGAAAGAAAGAAAGAAAGAAAGAAAGAAAGAAAGAAAGAAAGAAAG